GAAACGAGTGATTATTGGACAGGTAACCGAACAATGCGACATGCACACACAAACACACCTAGAGGAACAGAGAGAGAGAGAGAGAGAGAGAGAGAGAGAGAGAGAGAGAGAGAAATACAAGAGCTCGCGATGCCAGAGAAACGACGAGGTGGTGGAAAAGAATTGGGAGAGGGTGACGACGGTGACTGCAGAGATAGAGGGTAGACTGTCCTCTCTTTAGCTATAGAACGCGGCGTATAGAGTCCAGCAGCTTGGAGGAGGATGAGGGAAAGGATGGTCGTTGAACCTCTCAGCCTCCGGGACATCCTGGAATAATCCTGGCACAGGACCGGTCCTCGTGAGCTGCCTCTCGGATACTCTGTAAAAATCGTCTCACCTCCCTTTTGCCGTGCACCTCTCCCGACACCTGGTTGTATGATCTCTTTCTCTCTAAATCCCTCCCCTCCACCCTCTCTTCTCTGCGCCACTGCCTCACCCCCCTTCCTCTTTTTCTTTCACCTTCAGCCGCGAGACGCTGTTATCGTCTCGACCTCGATTATTCGGATAATGAGAATTCCGCGGTTATTTCGGGAACGTTGCCGCGCAGATGCTCGGAGATGCTTCCGCGAGGATTTCGCCTGGCCACTGCTGGTCATTGAACTTTACGGTTTCCGGATGTTCTGGAAACCGACATCGACGTGTCCGAGAGGAGGAAGGAGCCGTCGTTATCTCGAACGTAAAGGAGAAGTATAGCCGATCGAAGTTGGCCCATACCGTGGCCACGAAAACCGTTCTCGTTTGAATCGCGCTCGCTCGAGACGACCTGTATTTTTGGAAAAATACCAACAAAAGTTCGAGAACTTTGTCCGCCCTGTCTGTGTGTGTCTGTATATTTCTTGGCGTTTGGCGCACGGTTGCCGGTTTTTTAAACGGTTCGCGGACGTGTCGGCCCCCTTTTAAAACGCGTTTTCGCGTGAATATGCATGCACGAGACGAAAGTTCCCTATGCTAAACACTGCATTGGAGTAGCCGCGACCGAAGCTGGAGCATCCTCGGATCAATGATTTCGCGTGTCATTTTTAAAAGTAACGGTATGCCGATGCGAAATCAATACAGCAGGCCGCGCGTGCCTGCTTCTTACAAATATAACGGGCAACCCATAAACGAAAGAAATCTCCTTCAGCCGGTGGCCGTCGATGCAATTTATTTAATTAGTTCACACGCGAGAAGCTGAAAAAAACGCGAAATCACAGTGGCATGGACTCGCGAATTCTCTCTCTCGACCGTTCGCTTTTTCGCAGCCATTTTTCGCAGAGATCCATACGTCGGACAAACGAGGCGTGACGGACATTCAACCAGACTCCTGAAGCAGCCGGACGTTGTCAGTGCCGTATAGTTCGCGAAGTACCCAGAAACTTCTTTTGAAAAACGTCCATCGCGAAGGAAATTGAAGCACGACCCCTCCTCCCCTCCCCTACATTATCTCTTTCTTTTCTTTCCTTCTTCAAACTGGCTTTACCGATAGATTTCGGACAACGGCGAATTGAAATTGCCTCGCGGGAAATAGTCGGTTGAAGTTGAAATTATTTTCGATACGGTGCTGGTGCCGTGGCATTTCATCCTTCGTCGGTCACTGACACCAGAAAACGGCTTATAGCGGTGGCGTCGATTCAGGATGGAGAGACGTGTATTACGTGTGTGCACGTGAACGCGCGCATGGTCTCTGGTACCTATGCGGCTTCGACGGCCACCGGTATCTCGTGGAATTGGAATTTCATAGTCTGTCTAGTGGTCCGTGCACAAGAGCGTAATGTAGTGCCCAAGTAACGAGAGGATATTGCAGAGGAAATGATAACAAGCTTCTACGAGTTTGTTACCGGCTCGTCCTAGGACAGCGTCGTTTCTATGACAAAGTTTGTAAAACAGCGGCACCAACGAACGAGTCGAAAACGTTGGTGACGGAACCACTCGTCAATCTACGTGGAAATACTATTTAAAATACAAAAAACTCGCTTAATCTCTATCTAGCAATTAATGGGAGCACACTTGGAGCATACGTGCTTTTGTGAATTGTATTTCGTCAGCCGATCGATTCGAAAACGTTCCAGCCATCGATCGGAACGTTTCACTTTGTCGTTTATTGACCTCTTTGTCCCGCGATTGCTCATATCGATCAACGCGCGCGAGCAAACTCCTGCCAAAGAGGCCGGGCAAAAAAAACGATACGTTTACGTCTGTGTTGTTTTGCGCAGGTTACTTATTGACCAGAGTGGAGAAAAAGATTGGCTCGCCCGAAAAACCCCTGTCGGATCTGGGCTTGATCTCGTATCGCAGCTACTGGAAGGACGTTTTACTGCAGTACCTCTGCAACTTCGGGGGCAAAGAACTCTCCGTTAAAGGTAACACAATGCCAGCCGCGGAGCACACGCCTCGCACGCTTTTGACCGATTTTACGAGACGCGTTATTTTAAGAATACCGGAATACAGAGGAAGAGAGAGAAAGAGGGAGAGTTGCCCCAGACTCGAGATTCGAATCACTCGACGCTGTCCGTCCGTACCGTTTTGCATATTGTTTTCCAGATATCAGTAAGGAGATGGCTATCGATTCGTACGACATCGTCAGCACCCTACAGGCTCTCGGTATGATGAAGTACTGGAAGGGCAAGCATATCATTCTGAAGAAACAGGTAAGTCGATCATTGTCGTTTTAACTTTGCCTCTCGGGGGGGGAGGATCTCTCACGCGTGATTCGTAGAAGATTCAAATCATTTCGAGGGAGGGATTATTCGCCGGTTGATCTGGTCGAACCGTTCGTGGTTCCAAACTTACGCGATCGTAAATCACGTGAAACACGCTTCCGCGGAGAGGAATCAGTCTCTCGCGAAACTCGCCGCGCAACGGAGGTATGGTATTGCGCATGGTTTCGCAACGATCCTTCTCCTCCGCGTTCGACGTGTCTTTCACCTCCCCCACGATGCGGCCGAGATAAAATACTAACAGAGTATTGTAAATCAAAGTATCAGCCATGAAGGAGGTCGATAGTCTGACGGTCAAATGTGTATATATATATATATATATATATATATGACCGTTTCGTCGTTTTCTGCGATTGGCCGAGGTGTTTCCGCTAAAAAGCGACGATTTCCAAGAGAGGAGAGGTCGCGTTCTCTCCGAGACAGAAAGAAACAAAGAAAAGAAAAGAAAAGAAAAGAAAAGAAAAGGAAAAAAGGAGAGGCACAGACCGATAGAGAAACCGTTGAAATAATTTCAGGACGTGATCGACGACTACAAGGAGAGGGTGAAGAGACGAGGGCCCGTCTACAAAGAGATCGATCCGGAGTGTCTGAAATGGAACCCCTTCCAGCCTCCCAAGACGCCCTCCGCCTCGAACTAAGGCTTGCAGCAGCGGCAGGAGCCCGGAATGACGCCGACGCCAACGGCGGAGGTCTTCCCCTTCTCTGTCTCGTTCTCGTCTCTCTACGATTCTCTCTCGTGCTCGTTCATCGGTGTCGACCAAGGGCGGTGGTCGATCTCTTTCTTCGTCTCGATCGTCTCCTTCGTTTTCTTCCCCTTCTCCCTCTGCTCGCTCGCAACCTCTGTTCTCCTTTTTCCTCCTCCTCCTCCTCCTCCCTCCCCCTCTCCTCTCCTCTCCTCTCACCCTCTTTCTCCGCCATTCTCGTCGCCTTTCGCGAGACTCGACAAAGCCGTAAGCGCTACATCACGCGGATTTCATGCTCGCGAGCGTGCGGTGAAACCCATGAAAATGTTGCTTGCGAGAGGTTCCTTTTCTTCGGATCGGCGAGTCAACACCGTTGCCGCGATAACCCCTTCGATCGTCACCGAAAATCGAATTTCTCGACCCGACTCAACCTGTATCGCCCAGTTACTCGCACACTTGGTAACGATGCAATAGAATTCATTCCGTGACGAGAGAGACGAATGTGCAATTTTTGGTACTTCGTATCTTCGAACGATCGATCTTTGATCTCGATTGCCGTTTAACGCGAAACTATCATCGCGTAGCGAAAACGATTTCAATACGGTTTCGGCCGAGAGTTGCAAATGAGCGAGAAATGCGTTATTGATCGTGCTAGTGAACTGTAAAACGGAGAATTTTAAGCGCCGGTGAGCAGTGGAGAGGCCCCCAAATGTCCCACAGTCGAGCTCGATGGTCTGCAGTCTACGTGAAAATAATTCGGAAACCATCGAGTCAAGGTTGCACCGAATCGATTACAAACGATGCGTTACTATAATTGTTATACGTCCATCTGTGATGACTGTTTCTTTCTTTTTTTTTTTTTTTTTTTTTTTTTTTTTTTTAATGATCACGGATGCTACGAAAGTTTACTGATTGTTCCCGAACGATCGCGAATATAATATATAAGGGAGTACTGCACGATGATAAGACGATTGCATCGATAATGTTGATTATTGAAGCGGATGAATGTTACACATATACATACAGATACGATTAGTGAAATGAACTCTTTGTTTGTAGTTTTAATTCGTTTTATTCGTTGAAAAGAATACAAGTGTTCGAGTTGAGAAACTCTGCGTGCTTGTCGTGGAAAGAACATTCGAGTCGCGCTTTTCAGTTTTTCCGGCGGACACTGTAGAATTGGATCCGACGTTTCTCCAGATATCAGATAGTCTTCTTTGTTAACCATAAAGCCAGTTATTAGCGATCTGTAAATTAAATATGTTTTATGTATGTCTTAAGGTGTACAATAACTATTTATAAAAATACAATTTTTATTAATCTAGCCGAATGATCCCAAAATATTTACCCAACATATCCACGTATATACATGTGCTACATTCTAATCCTGGATGTGACAGACAAAGAATGATTAACAGAAGGTTATTGCATATACGAAAATAAGTAAGGAATGTAGAATGAAATTTCTTTTTTTTTGTAAAACGCATATTTTCTTCGAAAATTTATCAAGTATACGTGTACTGGATTGCAGATTTCTGACGAAACGTGCTCAAAATTCTTGAAAATGACGCCTTCAAACAAATTTCATTCTACATTTTTCATTTATCTTTGCACGTGGAATATCCACGAGTCGATAATGCGCGCCTGTCCAGTACGGAATTAATCAAATTAAAATATATTTGAGAAATTCTGAAACTCGAAACGAGAGGCCCTTCAAACACCTGGCTCTGGCAACTAATTCGCGGACCATAACGAGTGACCAAACCGTGTACAATAATTCGTCGCTTTCTTTTTAAAACTAGATAGAAATTGCTAAGAAGTAACAAAATTTATTATTCGTTTATATTTAAATATACTTAAAACTGAGAGAATATTGCAATTTTGGAGCAAACAAATTCTCAACAGCGCGAGGGGAGGGAGTGAAAAAATTTTATTTTCTTCTTCTCGACTTATTTTTATATGTAGATTAATCTCCTTTCGACTAGTACCACCCAATGACACCCTGATACGCCCGATTCCATTAATCGTGCAGATATTTTCCTCGTCGATTTTATAACGCGGTTATAGAAAAAACAAACAGCCCAAACGCCGTTAGTTTCCTCAACTCGCTGATTTCCCGTGAGTAATTGCGATATGTGATTTCACGGAATCGTAAAGACATCAAATAACACCGGTCTGATTTTACGCCTCGTTAACGCTGTGAATCATTTCCATCGTTAATCGGCAAATCTCTTTGAAAATCACGCTTAAAGGAAGAATTTGAAAACATCGTTTTACGCGGAGCTGAAAATTTTTGGAGTTCAACGAACGATGAAAATCGGAAGCGTATGAATCATTTGGCGTGTAATTTGAATCACGTCTTTGATTGATTAAATAGACATTATGTAACGTGTGTTAAAGTACTAACTCGAGAGGATTTATCCAAAACAGACTTTCTTCTTTTTTTTTTTCCTGTTTTAATAAATTTGATTCAAACCCGTATCGTAATTACTTACAAATGACTAGAAGGTAACGCAAAAGATAGTGAAATTAAGTACAGTTCATAACCATAAATACAAATCTTGATATGATCTGTTAGTGTGTCATTTTAAAGCTCGTCGATACGGTCTATTGGCTCTTAATAACACATAAATTTATTTCGTACGTGTGCACGTGTCTTTCACAGACACCAGTTTTTATATTCGCTGACCGAGTTGTTGCGCTGTGCTGATTCAATGCCTTATCTGCCTGTCCAAGTTTAACCTTTTTGGCGATAAAACTGAAAGTTGGGCGTGCTTCGTGTACAAAACATAGAGAATCGCGATACGTTGCAACATATTCGTCACGTTATGCGTGATAGTTATAACAACTCGAGTCACTGAATAATTAAAGAAGTTGAATGACAGTGTCCATGAGCCTTTACATAATTCTAATTCTAAAGTTACAACATGGCGTTTCATCGAAACGTTTTTCGACATCATGCAAGATGTATCAAAATATGTGGGCATAGCTTCGCTGATAGATTCAGCATGTTAAAATATGGAGAAATTTCTTCATTTATAACTATTTATAAATGGCAATTTATAAATAATATAATATCATTGCCAACGAATTCAGATAACAAGACAGCTCAGAGAAGTTTATATCAGTTGACGGAGCAATATTTCTATAAAAACAGGTAAATAATTGATACAATACAGAAACGACCATTCCAGAAACAAAGTCAAAGTTATATCGAGCGTATGTTTATATAAACAGTTTTTCTTTAGAGCGTTCTCTGCTTTTGAAGTTATGTTTATATGTTTTGCATATACGGGTTTATCCTAGGTTTTATAATAATATGCCAGTATACTCTACGAGTCTAAATAAAAAAAAAAAATGTTACATAAACGTTTGTTTGTGAAGTTTTATTAAGAAGTTATGACAAAAACATGAAATATATACAAAAGAAACACTGTTACTGCGATATTATGTAAGAATATATCAGCAATATTTATCTATTTTAGTCTATGTAGAGGTAGCTAATTCTTAAGATATACATATAGATGCTGTTATTACATCAGTAACCGTTATTGCTCTTCATATTTCATACTCTTGTAACTTTTTCATAAAGTTCTAACGTTAAAACAACTTTTAATACAAGTTAAAATATTTTACATATAAATCATTATAATTTAAATGTTAATAATTAAAATAAATTGACTTACACAATTATATTTCTGTCTAAACACAAATCAATATTAATTTTGATAGAAATACCTATAGCTTTTAAATAATTGTGAAAAGAAACGATCTGAAATCTGTTGTATTAATGGGTTTGGTTGTTTAGTGTTAAATGATCTCCACTTATATAATATTTTTTTCTTATTTAAATCTATGGAATATACTGATATTTGTATATAATTCAGATCTGGCCGAAAATTCATTTCGAATAATAATTTGTAAATAAATTTTTGAAATAATGTTCTTTAATATTTGGCAAATAATGAATTTCAATTAATGGTATGTAGCTCATTTGGTCAATTAAAGGAATTTAAAGCTATGCAAATGACGGGGAAAATAATAAATTGAAAAACTGATTATTTCAGAAAATAATATTTATTTGATAATTTGAAAATTTATCTTTAAAACAACATTCAAAATAAATATCAATGAAACCGAAATACTCAAATGAAAAGAAATGATGAAATGAAAATTAAAATAATTTGTTAGTATGTGTTATCACGGCAGAAATTTGTCTTAGCTTTTAATAAGACTCGTTCCTCAAATATTTGGTTCGTTAATGAACAAAATTTCAGGGGACATTTGTTGCAAATGAAAATAGTCTTTCTACTGATGACGAAGACGAGAGGAAAGTATTATATTTTACAAATGGTTGTTACAAATATATGGTCTAAATTTCTTCTATCGTCATCAAAGAATCGAGCGATATTCATTTCAAATTTTAACAAATAGATAACCGTAATAACTATACCGTAGTCGCAGAACAAGAAATAGTAAATATAAACATTGGACGCGTTATACCTTGAGAAACCAGTTATTTCTATCAAATCAAATAACGAATAAATCATTTAACTGGAAGTAAATTGATTTAATTTTTATATGAAATATTTAATAATATAATTTAATTATTTTACAAATAGATTATTTTTGAAATAACTTTAAAAAGTAATTTAAAAATTACGTTATTTGAAAATTTTTCAAAACACTTCAGGTTTGATACAATTACATTGTATAGGTAAGTATATTATATTATTATATTAATAATAATAATATTATTTTATGGATGAATGGTTGCAAATGAATGAAAATGTATATGAAGAAAAGTTGTCAATACGGTCAGCATACGTTGTTGTTTGTAAAGTTGTTGTAGTGTAAAGTTGTTCGTACTATTTGAGCTATTTTATTTTTCTCCTGCATCATTTTTGCATGAAGAAGAAAGAAAAATTTTCTAGAGTAAAAAAGCTGAGATCAGAAGGTGGGTCGCCTTTCCACTAACGTACGACTTTTCCATTAATGTAGAAAAAAGAAAAACGTGCAGAAATAACAAATATAATAAACAAAAATAATAAACGTTTCTGTCTAGATCCGCTAGATTTTGTTGAAGTCACGTCGGAAACATTAAATGTTACTGATACAATCCACAGAAAATACAAAAAATGTGGTCATAAAAATCTATAAAAATCCATTAAGGTAACGAGCTTTGGGGAAAAACCCAAGTTGCTTTGACGGTTGTATTAAGGATAAACTAAAAAACACGAAGACCGCAATTGATCGAAAGTAAGTTTTCTCGAGCACGCATTGCGGGTTTCGTGACCGAAGGTTTACTGACCGAAATAAAAAAAGAAAAAAAATACATATATATATATATATATATATATAAGCCGCCGTAAATAGGCACTTTTCGACGCTCTGGGGCTTCTATTGGAACCGTGCAAAGAGGTGAATAATTGCCTTACTCTGATTTCTCTTTCTCGTTCTATCTCCTCTCCTCGTTTCTTCCGCTCGGTGCACGCCACGCGACCCCACATAACATCATTATCCCATTAGTCGGCGACATTACGAGGCTACACGATTCCTCTCCTTTTGCCCGTCGGAAGAGAAACGATATTCTCCGCTAACAACAACGGTTCAAGCCTGTTCGCCTAACAACAGGGCGCCGGTTAATTTTATTTACCGATTAAACGAGGAAAACGTTCAAAATTAAATGGCCAATTAACCACGTGACACGGACTGTGTCCGTGATCAACAGTCGCGTTTCCCGGTGAACGTTAATTTTCGAAACGAGTCGATTATTCGCACGCGTCCCCCGATTACTTTTATACCGATGTTACAACAAATTTGAATCCTTCGTTAACGTTCAACTGCGACCTTGGACTGGAAATTTGAAGAGTGACTTGAAATGAAAACAATGTCAATTTATAATCGTCGTTCTCCTCCAAGGTTCTGGTCCAAGGCCACTAAAAAAAAATTGTAAGGAGCTGCGCGTTTCGTTTGCACGCTTGCGTTCAAGGTGTTGAGATTTTCTGATGTAATAAAGTAGCAGGGCACAGTCATATGAATTGCGCTCCAACAGGTGCCGGGTATCGAGTTCACCAGAGCACCTGATGAAGTACAATTAACATGCAGCCTCCCACAATTCTTTTCTTTTCACGTTCATTTCACACCTTCGTTTTTCTTTTCTTTTTCTGTTCTCGGTTCTCTTCTTCGACTTTTCTCTTCGGGGTCCTGGCAGCAGTATACCTGAATACCGCAGCGAAAACAGCGATGGTCCGGTTTCGCCGCAGCGCGCGCTACTTCAGGTACCTGACTGACTCGAAATTGGCACAGCCTGAAGTACCAGAG